CCCCAAAACCCCAAAACCCCAAAACCCCAAACTTTGGTGTGTTAATTGAATAATTTAAAACAGAAAATGCAGACCAGATCAAGGAAGCCAAAGGGAGGATTTGAAGAAAACGACCACTGTGACATCATCTACGTTGACATAGGTACTCTCCAGTATTCACCTTTTAGACCAAATTCCTGAAGACTTAAAAGAAGTCACAAGGGAGAACTTTCTTTCAGGTATTTTGCCAGTAAATTATTATTTAGCCATAATTCACCCTCTCACTATTGAAGAGTTCAGGGAGAAATATTACAGACAAAAAGCTCTACTTATCAAATGTGGTGAGGTCAGCAGGTATTCTGAGATCATTCAGGAGCAACTCCATGATTTAGAGTAAGAATTTAGTATAATTTATGTAGTCTTTATGACTTGTGAGAAAACACCGCAAGCGAACAAGTCCATATCTGGTACCCAGACAGGAAAGGATCCAACCGTAAAGAGCAAAAGGAGACAGATAGCTTCGGTACAAATGATATCTCCCTTGCTCTCACTTCACTTGAGAAAGGAGGAGCCAGTCTATATTTCGGAGCTCCAGTAGAATTTAGAGAAAAATATGTAAAGAAATTAGCATGCCAATTGGGTATGGACTACACTGCTTATTTCCCTGATTTCACCTCTATGAGCGAGTGAGAAATCTTCATTGCTAGGGAAGGAGGATATACTGACTATCACTCTGATTTCCAGGAAAACTTTAGCATCCAGCTACAAGGGTCCAAACTCTGGAGAATTTGCAAGAGTGGGATGACTTCTCCACTTGTAGGATTCACTCCACATTATGCCAATAGTGGGAATTTAGAGCACCAGCTTAAGATGATTAATATGGAGATTCCTCTTGAATTTGATAAATCAGAAATTGATTCCTATCAAGATACCATCAGGATAGATGCAGGAGATATTTTATACCATCCTGCAGGAATCTGGCATTCTGTAGAATGCATAGAAGATTCCTTTACCATAAATATAAGTCTAAAGAATCTCAACAAGGCAGATATTATTGCTCACAGCTTAAAACACCTCTTGAACCAGGATCCTGAATTAAGAGAGAACATGACTTTCTCTTCAAGAGAGGACTTCAATACTCAGATTCAGTCAGGAATTGAAAAAGCATTCGAATACCTGAAAGATCTCACTCCAGAGGTGATTGCTCCACAGAACCAATTCATTCCTAGATATGTAAGACTTTTGTGCTGAAGATATAGCTCCAATATGATTTTAGGAATCAAGAGCAATTAGACCTCATATGCAAGAAGCTGACCACGCCTGTGACCAAAAAGAATAAGTTATATTTCAATCCTCTCTCAATGATGGTTAGGAGAACCAGTATTCCTCAGGAAGAGATGGACGAAGGAGTTGACTTCAAAATTCATCACAATTATGCTGGAAATCCTGACTACGAATCCTCCATGACAGTTGAAATCATTGCTGATGAGGACAGCTATGACTTCCTCGAGAACCTTGCAGATCTCAGGATCAGGGAGCCTGACTACCAGTTCAATATGGAGGAAATCAACTGGAGGAAAGATAAGAAATTAGTCCAAGTAATCAAGATTCTTGTCTACCAGGGTTTCTTAGTCGTAGATGAAGTATAATTCCTCTTTTTGGTAAACTCAACGATTGCAAAATAATTAGGGGTTTTGGGGTTTTGGGGTTTTGGGGTTTTGGGG